TCCTTAACTGGTGTAAGGACTACTTAGCAACAACTAAAACATCAGGGTGTTATCAACATTATTCTCATCCTAAATCCAAAGCACAGCACTATACCAGCTACTAGGAAGAAAATTAACTCTATCCCAGCTGAAACCAGGACAGCAACTCATACCCACTTTTTTTGTCAGGAAATCTGAATGTCAGTATGAACTCCAGGAGAGCTCCTAGAAGATGGATGACCACAAGTAAGCTTTTACAGTTCTAAGACCCATGCTTGTATCCTGTGATTGCTGAACTTTAATTTGCATGCCTTCTCCCACTGCAGAGGAAAACAAGCCTTACCACACACAAAAGAAGTATGACTATTACTTACAAAATTCCTCAAGACAGAGAAAGTCTGCTGCTGTAATCAATTTTTCACTTTCAAGGAGAAAAAAGTAGGTCCAGGTCAAATCCAGATGCGCATGAAAAAACCCACTGCAATAACCATGACAGACCCTTCTCCTGTTTCACCCTGAGCAGAAGGATCCCCTGGCTGGATCGGTTGAAGCGGCTCGAGACACAGATGCCAATCAAAGATCTTTACCAAAGCTGCAATCTTCTCACGACTTTTTCTTACAGAACCTACCACAATGCCCCTTCTCTCCTCCTGCCGGCTTCTGACATCTATGGCAAACACAGCTTTATAAAAGTAAAAAGATATTCACTGTGCAAAATGCTCTTCAGTATTGCTGCTGTATGTTTCCTTCACAATCGAATGAAGAGGACAGGAAAAACACAACTATTTGCCCAAAGACTTCTTGTGACAGAACTTAGATGTTGATGTAACTCCACCTACTTCTTTAGGAAACTTCCCCATTATTGGAGAATCCCCCACTAGGGAAAATTCTCTATTGCTAATAGTGGTTCACTGTAACCAGAGACAGAAATGTTGGGAAAATTAGTACATAAAATGCCACAGGCATTTTAAGAAACACATCATCTGATCAAAGCTGTATGTGAGCAACGCTGCTTGGAACACCAGTAGCAGGAAAGTCATCCATCGACACAAACTCAGGGTCCCTAGAGTGTTCATCTTAAGTGGTGCTGAACAGCTGCTAACAAAACTTGGAAATTTCTACACAACTTTTTCATGTCTGCAGAGGTCATAAGTAGGAATAATAGGAAGAGCATTGCCTACCCATCTCTGGTAAGAACAGATATTCTCTCCCCAAAGCCCTTGCCTTGCCACTGTGTAGTGCAAGAAGAGTCGTTAGGTCTACGCACTAGCTTAGCAAAAATTAAAGAACACTGTCTCTTTCTTTTTCTTGATTCTAGAAGTCATTCAAGATACAGAAAAAACCCCAAGTATTAGAAGCCAAAGGATGTACTCACATTAACTTGTGGACCGGAGCAGGATAATCTGGTCAACAGCACAAAACACAACTTTAAATGTATGTTTCAGTGTAAATTCACCCGCTTATGTTGTCTTCGCATATCTCAAAACAGGGTTGAGATTCTCAGAAGAGTTAAAATACTGTGAAATGACTACTTGAAAGTTTTCAGAATGTATTTTCTTCTTTCCACTTGACAGCCCACTCACAGTATCTGTCATGGAAGCAAAAACACATAATACACAAAAACCAGTAAGAATTAAGCTTTTTACTTGATGTGTAGGAGGTGCATGGAGACAGTGGTATATGAAATAGCTGAATGTAACATTTAAGTTCTAGTAACCTGAAACTACCTTAGGAGGTTGCGGGGGTGGATTTCCGCAATAGGTGAGACCGATAAAGGTTAATTTCCACTGATTTCTTCTGTGCTTAAAAACAGGTCTAATAATATTTTCTTAGGGAAAAAAAAAAAAAAAGGCAACAAAAAGAAACTGAAACAAATTTGTAAAGTACTGACTGTGAGACCACAGAAGTCATTGATGTAGCTAGGTTTCAAAA